ATCCATCCATCCATCCATCCATCCATCCATCCATCCATCCATCCATCCATCCATCCATCATCCATCTATCCAATTTCTCCACCCATCCATCCAATTTCTCCTATCCATCCATCCACTTTCTCCATCTATCCAATTTCTCCTATCCATCCATCCATCTATCCAATTTCTCCTATACATCCATCCATCCATCCACTTTCTCCATCTATCCATCTATCCGTCCACCCACCATCCATTTATTCAATTTCTCCATTCATCATCCATCCATCCATCCATCCATCCATCATTCATCTATCCAATTTCTCTATCCATCCATCCAATTTCCCCATCCAGGCCATTCATCTATCCGTCCACCTATCTATTCTCTCATCTCTCCATCATCCACTCGGAGGGGCCAGAGGCCGACCGGAGAGGCTGCAGGGCTGCTCCCCGTCCAGCTGGGGTCCCTGCGTGGGGCTGTAGACAAGATCCTTTGCAACCGCCCGGGACGGCTCTCCTGACCGGAAGACGGCTGCCTCCCCTCCCCTTTGACCTCCCCCCCAAACGTTGCTTTTGTTTCCCGCCAGGACGACAACTGGGGCGAGACGACCACGGTGGTGACCGGCACATCGGAGCACAGCATTTCCCACGATGACATCACGCGCATCACCAAGGACATGGAGGACAGCGCCCACCTGGACTGCTCCCGCCACCTGGGGGTCTCGCTGGCGGGGGCCCTGGCCCTGCTCTCCTTCCTGACCCCCATCGCCTTCATGCTGCTGCCCCAGCTGCTGTGGGGGGAGCAGCTGAGCCCCTGCGGGACCCCCTGCGAGGGCCTCTTCATCTCGGTGGCCTTCAAGCTGCTGATCCTCCTGCTGGGCAGCTGGGCCCTCTTCTTCCGCCGCCCCAAGGCCTTCCTGCCCCGCATCTTCGTCTTCCGGGCCCTCCTGATGGTGCTGGTCTTCCTCCTGGTGGCCTCCTACTGGCTCTTCTACGGCGTCCGCATCCTGGATTCCCGCGACACCAACTACCAGGGCATCGTCCAGTACGCCGTCTCGCTGGTGGACGCCCTGCTCTTCGTCCACTACTTGGCTGTAGTCTTGCTGGAACTGCGCCAGCTGCAGCCCCACTTCACTCTCAAGGTGGTGCGCTCCACCGACGGGGCCAGCCGCTTCTACAACGTGGGGCACCTCAGGTAAGGGCAGTAGAGGCTCAGAGGGGCTTGGCGGCATCTCCGCGCGGTCAAGGACGGGCGGGGGCGGCTATTCGGTGGTGTTGAAGCCTCGTCACAGGATGGGAGCTGCCTTTTGCAATGGAGCCGTTGGTCCCTGAGCCACAGTCATTCTAATTCTACAGGTACCGTATTTTTCGGAGTATAAGATGCACCTTCCCCCCCCAAAAAGAGGGTGAAAATCTTGGATGCGTCTTATACACTGAAAACAGCATTTTGTGCCTCCTGAAACCCCTCCCCCTTCACAAAAATGAATGTGCAGAGCCTTTAGGAGGCTTCCAAAGTGCTCCTGGGGGCTGGGGAGGGCAGAAAGTAGCTGTTCTTTGCTCGTTTTTGCCCCACCAGCCACCAGGAACACTATAAGTCACCCAAAAAATGGGCCCTGCAGAGTGCAAAAACTTTTTTTTAAAAAAAATTTACGTCTTCAAAATCTTGGTGTGTCTTATACTCCCAAAATTACGGTCCTCAACTTACAACAGTTCATTTAGTGACACATTGCAACAGCACCGGAAAAAGGGACTTATGGCCGTTTTTTTCCACACTTAAGACGGCCGTTGCAGCATTCCCCCCACAGTCACATGATTAACATCGGATGCTTGGCAACTGACCCGTATTTATGACGGTTGCAGTGGCCCCCGGAGTCGTTCGATCCTCTTTTGCAACCTTCCGGCAAGTCAAGTCAGTGGGGAAGCCAGGTGGGCTTCACAGTTTTGTGTTGTTCGTTTAAGAACTGCACTCGTCCGCTTGACAAAGGTGGCGAGAAGAGTTGTGAAATGGGGCAAAACTCACTTAACGAATTTCTCACTTAGCAACATACATTTTGGGCTGAATTGCGGCTGTAAGCCTGAGGACTGTCTTTGCAGGTCTTTGTAAATGTTTCCCTTCTGTTTTCTTCGGTATTACAACATCTGTGATCCAGAATTTTCTTTCTTTCTTTTTTTGTTACTGTTGGGGAAGAAGCTGAAGTGCCCCCCCCCCCCAATCTCATGCCCAGCCGTGAGCCCTAATAAGACTTAGAATAAATTTATTGTCACTTTGAGTGTCCCCTAATCAGCAGACATAAAGATGAAATTTTGCTGCATGCAGCTCTCAAAGGCTCACCGCCTTCAATAGGCACTATAGAAAAACATGACAGAATAAATAAATACAAAATTATGTACTGTATTTTTCAGAGTATAAGACCCACTGGAGGATAAGATGCACCAATGTTTTGAAGAGGCAAATTATTTTTGTAAAAATTTTTTAAATGCTTCCTGTCTGTTTTTTTTTAATTATTTTAATTTTATCAATTTCATATATACATTCACAATTATATGATCTCATAACTGTTATTAATA